CCCGACCACGGGGTCAGTCCTGCCCTGGGGCTGAGGGAAAATAAATGGTGTCCAAGATAAAAGGTCCGAGAAAGTATTTGTCTTGTTGTCACGTCTTGACTGCAATGGGCAGGGGCCGACGGGGCATCATCCCAGAAAGAAGCCGGGCTGGCAGGCCCCCAGCACACACACGAGACCGGGCCCTGGCCCCGGCCCCGGCCCCAGCCCCCACCTTCCCGGCCTAACAGCTCCCAGAACCTGGCCTGAGAAGGCAGGAATGGTGGGGCATGGTCGGTATTTGCTCAGCGTCTATCCCCAAATACCCTCCACGCGCTGGGAAGTTGGATCCTGTCCGTGTCACTCACAGTGGAGGGTCTCTGTGGGCTGGGGGCTTGGCCAGAGAAGGGACTCAGGTGCCTCACTCCTCCCAACCCTCCGCAAAGGCAGGCGATGGTTCCCAAACACCGAATTCCAGGGTCAAGGCCAAGTTAAGAGGACAGTGGCCCAAGGTACTGTCCCCGTACCTCACACTCACTCAAGCTCAAGTTCACACTCACTCACACTCACACACTCTCACACACACTCATACACACACACACTCACACAGACACACTCACACAGACACACTCACACTCATACTCACACTCACACACCAGGCTTTGTCTCACCACCACCAGCATCCAAAACGCATTTCCCAGAGCCTGAGAACCTAGGGCTGGTGAGCAATGCCGTGGGGCACAGCCGCCGGCTCTAGGCCATCCACTGTGGGCCACTGATGGGCCTTAACCAGCAAAGGCACTTTTTATTCCCCTCTTCCGTTAGTCCTCCCAACAAGGCTCTCGGGGACGCATCCCCGTGTCACAGACGAGGACACTGAGGCCCAGCAAGGCTCCGTGTCAGGGGCAAGATCACACAGCCAAGGCCGGGCAGAGCTGGGATTTGACCCCGAGGTCTCTGAGGTGGGGCAGCGTGTGCACGCTGGGGCAGGAGGGGGTTGGCACCTACCATACTTGTCCCCGTCCTCGCCACGGGCGCTGATCCTGCGGCCCAGGACCTGGATGTGCTTCCCGCTGGTCCGGCTGTAGAGCTGGTACAGCCGCAGCTGCTTACGGCTCACATCGTCCCGAGCCCGCGTCTGGTTCTCCACGTGGATCCGGAAGTCCACGTTCTCCTCGGCCGCCAGCACCTGGGCAGGGCAAGGAGCGGCGGTGAGATGCTTGCAAGTCCGGGGTCCCCTGCAGGCCAGGGCCTCCTCTATGCCAGCTCTGGACCAGGCCTCAGCGCACAGGCATAGCTGCTTCGACACCACCCCATCTCCCACCTGAGGCAGCGAGGTGAGGCAAGTTGCCCCACGTGGCCATGCCAGGAAGCGGCGAAGATAAGAATCAGGCCCAGGTCTGTTTGAAACAAAGCTCACGATCTTCCCACCACAGCCTCCCATCAGAGCAAGAAGTGCCGAACAAAAGGAGGTTTCTCTTTGGACGTTGGGCACACAATTTGCTTGGTCTCAGAGTCCAGAGCCCCTGCCCCGGCCACATCCCAGGGGGCTGTGAGGACGTGGAGAGGGGAGCGGGGTGGGGAGCAGATGACTGCTGTTCGGGTCCTTGGCGGGGAGGAGGGAGGCCCGACAAGTCTCATCTCCTCCCGGAAAGAATGGGCCAGATGACATCACTTCTTCCCGGAGCCTGACGCTGAGGGAGCCCCTCCCAGGCCCTGAGGGTCCTCATGCTCGCCCAGGCCACCAAGCATTTCCCCACATCCCTCTTCTGCTGGAGAAGCCTTCGCTCTGCAGTGCGTATCCCTGGAGCTTCAGTTCACGTCTGACCACATCCTCCGCGAAGCCGCCTCTGGCGACGCCAACACTTACTCTCCAGCCTCCCTTCGCCAATACAGCCTCTCACCCGCGCACCCTTGCCCCCTGGTTGTCTATCCTCCAGCAAACCCAGTCGCCTCGCCTCCCTCCACCCCGTCCAGGGCCTCCCATCACATTAAGATGAGGTCCCCACCCCGACTGCTTTCATCTCCTATCACCCCCTCTCCACCAGTTCAAACACAGAGTGCACACCTGCCCCAGGGCCTTTGCACTGGCTCCTCCCACTGCGTCCATGCTTTCCCCAGATTTTCACATTCTGGCCTCCCTGCTTCCTTTGGGTCTCTGCTCAAATGTCACATCCTGCCTGCTTTCCTGAGGCCAGGCCCCACTCTGTCACTATCCGTCTCTCAACCACGCTTTGTGTTTCTTTCTAACATTTATCAACCTGCCATAACATCTCTTTGTCTGGTTTTTGTCTGTCCTCCCCGCGCAGACTGGCAGCACCGGGAAAGCTGAAATGCTCCCTTTGTCGTTGGCTGCTCTATCCCCAGCATGTATAGCACAGTAGAAACTCAAACATTTGTTGAATGAATGAAAAAAGAAATGAACAAATTAACATTGAAAAGATCTGAGTCCTGTCATTCCATTTAACATTAAATTGGGATTTTCTATGGCCTGCTAATGGCGCGCCTGCCCTAACTCATCTTAACCAGAAAGCTGAACAATTCTTAAAGTTCCAGGTTCATTTCCATTTAGGCACATAGGATCTCAGCCCGCTCAGCTCACAGCAGGGCTCTTGGGACCTGGGCTGCGGCTACATCAGCCCTCAGCTGTGAGCGGCCAGGTCAGGGACCATGTTTCCCTCATGGCTACACCCCACACCCAGCCTGGGGCCTCTGTCCCCCAGGTGACCTGCACATCATCCTCCACCCCAGCCGGGACCCCCAGGCACTTCTGCATTTAACCCTCACTACCATCCTCCGATTGGAAGGGTTAACCCACACTACAGATGAGGAAACTGAGGCTCCAAAGCTGAATTAACAAGGTCACAGAGCAGGCAATGGCAGCCCAGACCCTGTGGTGCCAAAGCCCAGCTTTCAGCCCCGTCTTGCTGTTCCCCGCACCCCCCCAGCCCCTCCCCTTCCCCGCCCGACCAGGGCCATCAGGCGCAGGACTGAGGTTCAAAACCCAGGGCATGCCGCTCCCTAGCTAAGGGACCCCAGGCACGTTACTAACCTCACTGGGCCTGTATCCTCGCCTCTAAAACCAGGGTGCTGGCTTCAAACGCATGAAGTCCTAGCACAGTGCCCGGTGCAGAGTAAGTCTCGGTAGGAAACTACTGGGAGAAGGTCAGGCAGCCCTGGGCGGCTCCCCGGGAAGCCCGCCGACAGAAGCCTCTTACAGCGCAAGCAGATCGAAGGCCCTGTCTCTAAGGAGGCACTTCTGAGGCACAGATACAATTTGCGAAGGTACT